CGTAATTGAGCGCCACATCAAACCGATAGACATCGCTGGACAGTAGGTTCACAATAGTGCCGGTAGTAGTGGTCCGGAGGGCAGCGCTGGACACGCGGAGAGCCTTATTATATATGAGATAAGTGAGCGCCACTCGGATCTGCATTCCGAACCGATCCTTAACGAAGACATAGGGATGACCGCAATGGACGATCAGAAACTGCACAATACATATGGCGGCCGCACAGTAGTAGACATACGCCCGATGGGAGTCCCATTCAAACGGTGTGTCCTCATTGACCAGACCTGCCTTCACCTGCTTTTGCCATTCGGTCAGCGATCGGATCATATATCCCAACGACACCGGGAGTGTGAGTCGTATAATACATGTCTAGTAATTTATAATGAATACATAAATCAATGTTATTCGTAGAGATGGGTTTTGTTTAAAATATTTTAAATCATAGTGTTTTAAATCTATGCTTACATTTACAAAATTTAAAATTCCTATATTTATGAAAAGTGTGCCAAATGTGCGAAAACAAGCCATCATTAGTCTAGCTTTTTGTCCATTTCTATGTCTTTCCATCTCTTTCTCCCAATTTCTGCATTTAATTTAAGATTTATAATAATTATAACAATTATTTTTTAATTAATTCTAATTATATATTTTCATTCATAATACTATCAAATAATCAATTGATAACAATATTATAAAATTCATTATATATTGAAACTTACTTTAATAGCCGTTTGCCTAATATATGGGACTTATCATGTGATGGGCACTCATAGCAGTCATTCACTTCAATGGGGTTGCCATAAAACTTCTTGAAAAAGGGAAACGTCCACCTTTTAAACAAAACAAATCAATAAATTAATACCAAAAGTAGCATATATTTGAATATAAGTAGTAATTACTAACCAGAATAAAATTTTGGATATGAAATTAGCATGGTCATAGCCTCTTTGACAATTTTTCTCAGACTTCATTTCTATGTATTTGAATAAATAATTGCAAATAAATTATAAAATTATATTTAATATAATTATAAAAATAAATAACAGTTTATTTGCAGACAATATCTCTTTACAGTTAAGAAATACAAATGTTTTAAAGTGAGAAGAATTCTGTCGTTTAAATACCAGTTTTAATAGTCATAAAAAGTAATAAACTTATATTTATTGTGATAGAAATTAATATTTCATCAGTAATTACATCAGTATTTATTACGATTGCAGAGATGTTATCGACATTTAACCAAAGTCTATCATAATATAATAAACTCTTTTATTACACTATTTGTAATGATAATTTTACAGTACATTTATAAAACTGGTAATTATCTTAATTTTTACCAAAAGTATTTAAGTTAAAATTAGATATAAAACAAATTAATGTTATAATGATTATTAATTAAACTTGAGCATCAATAAAATTTAATTACAAAAGTTATAACGACATGAAATTAATTGGTATAAATTGAATTATAAGTAGAATATCTTTAGATAAATTATTTAATAAATATATTTATAAATGATTTCAATTTTAATTTAACGAATAGATTGTCGCAAACTATGGGCTACGGATGGATATGTTGTGGTGAAATGGAAACAAGCATTTATAATGGAGTAATTTGTGAGGGAAGTTCGACCAGGACAACTTCATCAATCACGACACAGTATCTGGTTTGTACCAAAATATTAATTTTTGAAAATTTGAAAAACATTACATAATCAACAACATTATAATATACTAACGGGAACTGTGCAACCTTAGAATTCTATGTAGACTTTACTTTAAAATACATGTATTGTAATTTACGAAATACCAATGTACCCATGTAATGTACAGTAAGTTAGTATTAATATAAAATAATTTGATATTTTATTCATTAAGAAAGATATTTGTTTAAAAAACATGATAACAAACAATTGGTAAATATTGATAAATAATGATCTCTAAAATAATGTCTATCTATGATTTATGTTAACTTCAATCAAGTTTAATCGCCCATGATCTGATTTTGTTTTTTGATGGATGCTTTCAAAGCTGTTTGTCTGAGAGACTGTTCCATGTCTTTGCCGGTCGTCTCAATCATCTGAGCAAAGATACCGTCGCTATCATTGATGAGATGAAGGGGTGAACCAAACTGTGCGACGACTCCTGCGTCGAGAACCAGCACTTTGTCGTAGTCTATGATTGTATGCAATCTGTGAGCGATTGTCAATACAGTACACGAACTGAACTCATTTCGGATCACACTTTGGATCAAAGCATCGGTTCTGAAGAATACAAGACATTTATGTCAACACAAGTGATAACAAAATGATTGGACACAAGACATACCGGGGGTCGACATTAGCTGTTGCCTCGTCTAAGACTAGTATCTTATTGTCTCTGAGTATAGCTCTCGCCAAACATATCAACTGTTTTTGTCCGACACTAAAACTGCCGCCACTTTCAGACACTATTTGATCCAATTTGTGGGGAAAGGCAGCGATCGTCGACTGGAGCTGTACTTTAGCCAACACTTCCCAAATGCGATCGTCCGGACAGTCACCGAATGGATCCAAATTCTTGCGCACAGTTTCTGTGAATAGTATCGGTTCCTGAGGTATGATTGATTACAAAACAGCGTTTATTCTGTTTGACTACCGTCTCCACAGCTACGGCAGCTAGAGATATTGTGGCCTGCCTCGCCAGTAAGCCTTGTCTCAACACTAATGCCTACTGAAAGGCCGCGGGCAGGCCGCGACTATACCCACAGTTTCGCCGCCTTTTATCTCAAGATTAATGTTATGAAGAACTGGAGAATCGCTTCCCTCGTAATGAAGGCTCACGTCTTTCATCACTATTTGTCCTTTTGATGGCCAGTCTGTGGACACAAACAGATCGTTTACATTGTTTTATAACAAATCAAAAGACAATTATCTGTAATCATACCTTTCGGTGGTTTGACTTCACTCTCAAATTCTCTGTCAATTCTTCGCAATTCATCGACTCTTTCAACGGATGTCATCTGAGTCTCGACTTCAGCCGACTGTCTAATACCCCACTGAAAGTTACCATACCTTTCGGTGGTTTGACTTCACTCTCAAATTCTCTGTCAATTCTTCGCAATTCATCGACTCTTTCAACGGATGTCATCTGAGTCTCGACTTCAGCCGACTGTCTAATACCCCACTGAAAGTTCGTAGTCAACTGAAACGCCTGCGAGAGAGTCAGTCCGATAGCGCTGGCACTCGAGGCGCTCAAATCGCCGCTCACGTGAGTGATAGTTATGGCTATAGCGTAGACCAGACAGAGCTGATCCAACACAATGCCGAACCAACGCGTGGACGTCATAAACATGAAGTATGTGTTCGAGTGCTGGTCCTGAAGACTGTCAAACTTGGCTGAGAAGTCCTTTTCGGCACCGAATGACCGGATGGTTGTCAAGCCGTTCAACGTTGAGGCCAAATGGCTAAGTGTGGGACTCCTAGCCGTGCCCTCGACTCTCTTCAATGTCCTAATGGTTCCCAAAGTGAACTGTCGGACAATTATAAGGAGCACTAGTAGTACAAGAGTGGGAACTACTGTCCAGTAGTCAACAAGAATGCAGAGCACAAGTATAGCGAAGCAATCCATTAGTATCTGAATGCTATCGAAGGCATTAGACGGAAGTAAGTCATCGATTATACCTGTTATCGGAGATAATAATTATAATTATTAATTAATTAATTGGTTAATTAATACCTAAATCACGTGACACTCGATTGAGAATCATTCCGATCGGGTATTTGTCAAAGAAAGCGATCGGAGCTCTGATTACGGACTCTAAGAGACGGTTATGTAATGTCACCGAAGATCTCATACAGACTGTGAAGAATGTGACGGTTCTTATGACAGACAACACGAAGACTACGACAACGAGTGAACTNGAACCACTTGTTTGTACTTTCTTTCGTCAAATGCTTTACCAAAGAGTATATTCTCTTTGACTGTTCCGCGAAATATCCACGACTCCTGACTCGAGTAACCCAACCGTCCGGACACTGAAACTGATCCACGATTTGTCTTCAATTCATTGAGTATTGCCATCAAAACCGCTGTCTTTCCCGAACCCACGGAACCGATAATAACAGTCAGTTCTTTCGGTTTTACATCAAACGAGATGTCATTCAATATCTGCGATACGTTTCCCTCTTTACTAACGATCTCTGAACTAATGTTATTCACACTAATGTTTGCAACATTTTTTTCACTACTGTCTGTATAAGCAGTTTCATTATTATTATTTTTATTGATAAAATCAGTTTTGTTTTCTTTCTATAAAAGCAAATATTAAGAAAAATTAAATCATTTTTACGGTATATTATATGAATAATAATAATAGGAATTCTTACGGAATATTCAATTTGTTTGGGAACGTATTCATCGAGTAATAGAAATTCCTATTTCATGTAAAGTTTATTTAAAATTAATTCACAAAATAATGTATAAACATATTTGATTTAAAACATACTTCCAGTCGTTGGACAGAAATGAGTGCTTCGGCGCTGAAAGAGACACCGTTTGGGAAATACAAAGTCATAACTAATCGCAACTGATTTATCAATACTATACTAACGAACACATTCTCAACAGTGAGTTCACCGCCGATGGATATGAAGACAATTATAGACAGAAATGTCATTATCTTAGAAGAAGTGAAATATAACGACAGGTTTATGCTCTTCAATACCGCTGTCTTCTGAAACACTTTGATCTCTCGGACTCGAGACAACTCTATGAGACGACCAAATGGTTTCTCCCAGACATACATCTTAATCACTCTCATGGCTGGGATTATCTCATTCATTAGTTTCAACCGATTGTCTGTCAGTTTCAGTGACAGCGACCGATAACTCTTGAAATAACTGCCCATAAATAACTGAAACGGTATATACACCACCATATATGCGATACCGGCCAGACATGACACACCCAATTGCATCCATAGTATACCAATGATGACCAGCATCTGTATGGGACCGGCCACCAGAAAGTGCACGTAATTGAGCGCTAAATCAAAGCGATAGACATCACTGGACAGTAAGTTCACAATAGTGCCGGTCGTTGTACTCCTGAGGGCACCGTTAGACAAACGGAGAGCTTTATTGTACATGAGATACGTGAGCGCCAATCGGATCTGCATTCCGAACCGATCCTTAACGAAGAAGTACGGGTGACCGATGTGTACGTTCAGGAACTGCACAAAACATATGGCGGCCGCACAGTAGTAGACATACGCCCGATGGGAGTCCCACTCAAACGGTGTGTCCTCATTGACCAGACCTGCCTTCACCTGCTTTTGCCATTCGGTCAGCGATCGGATCATATATCCCAACGACACGGGAAGGCCCAGTCTTATGATACAGTTCTGGTGTGGAAAGTGAACGATAGGTTTTAATAAGTAATTTTGTTTGAATACAGTATATTATAATTTTTGTAATTACAATAATTATATTAACTATTCCTATGTTTATGAAAAGTGTGCCAAATGTGCGAAAGCCTGCCATCAATAGTCTGGCCTTTTGTCCATTTTTATGTCTTTCTACTTCTTTTTCCCAATTTCTGAATTTAACACAACATTTAATTATTAAATATTTGCTAAATATTTATTAATAGTAATTAATCAATCCTATGCATGCATCTATAATTCAAAATGAATTCAATTTACTAAAACTTATTTATCTAAATTTTATTATATATTTTATCTACTGTACTGTAATTATAATCAATTATAAAAATATGCACAAAAAACTAATTTACTGACATTTTCTTAGAACAGTACAATAATAATTGATTATTATTTCTAACTTTTATTATTATATACTATTATTATCAAATTATAAAGTGATCTGATAAATGTGACATGAGTTATTATTTTAAATTTAATAATAAATTTAATAACTTATTATGATAAAAGTAATTTGAAATACAATAGCATCACATTATAGAATTGTCTAAAAATTTAATTAAATTTAATTAAATATTATAACTTACTTTAGTAATCGTTTGCCTAAAACATGTGACCTGTCATCTGAGGGGCACTGATAGCAGTCATTCACTTCAATGGGTTTGCCATAAAACTTCCTAAAGAAGGGAAACGTCCACCTTTTGAAGCAAATAAATACACCATGTATCATTATTTTATAAATTATACATTAAGTAGAATGAATAATCCTACCAGAATATATATTTAGATATAATATTAGCACTTCCTAAAGAAGGGAAACGTCCACCTTTTGAAGCAAATAAATACACCATGTATCATTATTTTATAAATTATACATTAAGTAGAATGAATAATCCTACCAGAATATATATTTAGATATAATATTAGCATGGTCATAGCCTTTTTTCTAGCTGTTTCTCGGACTTCATTTAAATTAGCATAAATAACATAAAAATAATTTAATAAATATAACAAAATTAAATAAACATTTGATTTGCAAACAGTTTCTCTAACACTGCAAATGATATAAAACAAATGATTTTTGGTGTCGATAATACTGTCGTTTAAATAGTTATAAAAAGTAGACTAGTTATAAATTGTAAGATAATTTCGCAATAATTGGCGAACTTTTTCACCGACATCAGTCCTAATGCCATAAAATTTTATTTTATAACACTCTTTATAACAATTATTTTATAAGAACTGGTATTTATTATCCGATCTTTGATACATCTGTTGAAATAATTGATATAATTTATATTATATAACATTTAATTATTGTAAATTACCTAGTCTGTAAACAGTACTTTTATATTTTTAAAATTAATATGATATAATTTATTTTTAATACCTGTAGTGATATTTAAACTTTAAAATAAGCACTTTTAACAAATGTCTTATAACTCAATGAATGTGACTTTAAATGCTATTAATAGAAGTATTTACTATTCATAGTATTTATAATTATAATGAATTAAACACAATATAAATATTACTTTTTATAAATTTGGTGTAAATAATATCTAAAAACCAAGACTTTACTAAAATTTAAGAATATTAAAATCATTGTTGAAAATATAATCACTAACTCAATAACTTCGATAACATATTAATTAATCTCGATAATAAATTATTTATTTAATTGTTGAATTCACATTTGACGGGATTCATTTAGGACTATATATTTAGGGCGATTCGGGTGGAGGTCTAATCCAATATGAGGACAAATACCGTTCTCGTGCTATACTTGTGGGAACAGTGGTGAGCGGTCAACCGGCGACGTGCGGCACTACAATCTCCTTTTATCATTCCACTTCTATGTTTATGGACTGGATTTTAGAGACCATTAAAAACAATACTGTTATACCAAATAATACCATAACATAAGTACTATTTACAGCCAATAATCTTTAATGTTTTATTTATAATCTAAATGAATTGCATTTTATATTTTAAAAACTAATTTACAAATGTATTTTTTTGCTATATACTGTAACATTAAAATATAATATTTGCTTTATAATTGATAAATTAATCTCGATAAAATCTACATTAGGAAATTGTTGAATTACAATTCAAAATAGCTTTTAATGAAGCCTGAAATCATTGAATTGTTTCTTTTAATTTAAATCAATCCAGTGTTGAAATGATTGACGCCAATGTTATAATTGTTTTAATTGTACTTTTAACACAACTTAATAGTATGTATAAAACATGTTATTTATATCAAAATACGGTAATAAAAGTAATGCTTTAAAATATTTGATACACTCGTCAGTGAAAACTTGCGGATCGTTTGTAAAAGTAGGCGATTATCCGGATTACAAGAAATACGGGATCAATGAAAAGGACTGTGGACTCAGATTTATGCCAACAATTATTGACATAACATTTGATACGAAATGCTTTCTCAATAAATACACCGCAATAAAAGTGGACGATATCGAGGGCAGGACTGAATACGGCAAGCGTCAGATCAATGGACGGGTAGCCCATAGTACACAACGGTTGTACGGAGAGGCCCCGTGGGCTGTGTACTTGAAATTTGAATATTGGTTCTTCCACGGTATTGGTACTGTTACGACCAAATCTTGTAGTGGAGTTTTGATCACCACTTTATGGGTCTTAACGGCCGCCCATTGTTTCGACAGGTAATCACATTTGAGTGTATTTCTGGTGTTTTTGTATCAAAACTATATCTCGTTATCTCTATAGCGGACTCAATGAGCCGCTTCGGGTGACGGCCGGTAATGGCGTAAAAGCCGGTCTGGACTCCAGGTTAAGGGCTGTTGTAATCATACCCGCGGAGTATAAGCCAACGCTTGATAATTGGGACATAGCTTTGGTGAGACTGAATCAGCCGTTTGAACGCACCCCAGATAACCGGCATTTAATGATAAACCCGATATGTCTGCCAAACACCGGACAACGTAATGATAACGAAGAAATGGCCACACTTTTCGGCTACGGAGCAATTGATGTCAAGGGAAACAAAGATCATAAGCTACGGAAGGGAGAGATCCTACTCGACCCGTACAGGCGGTGTCCGGCCGGTCACGTCGGCATTATGTGTTACCGCTATACCACTCAAGGAAATGCAACTTCTTGCATTGTAATTCATTATTGTTAATTTAATACTCTATGTCATAGAGTTTATAATTATATATTTGTATGATGTATAATTATTGATATATTTAGGGCGATTCGGGTGGAGGTGTGGTCCAGTATGAGGACAAATACCGCTCTCGTGCTATACTTGTGGGAACAGTGATCAGCGGTAATCCCACCATTTGCGGCACTACTATCTCCTATTATCACTCAACTTCTCTGGTTATGGACTGGATTTTAGAGACCATTAAAAACAATACTGTTATACCATAAACACCATAACATAAATACTATGAACAGCCAATTAGCTTTAATGTTTTATTTTATAATCTAAATGAATTGAATTTTTTATTTTAAAAACTAATTTACAAATGTATTTTTCTTGGCATATACTGTAATATTAAAATATAATGTTTACTTTATAAATAATCTCGATTTCAATTGTTATAACTTATAACTGATATTATTAATTAATCTCGATAAAATCTACAATGGTAAATTGTTGAATTACAATTCAAAATAGCTTTTATTGAAGCCTGAAATCAATGAATTGTACCTTTTAATAGAAATCAATTCACTGTTGAAATGATTGACACAAATGTTATAATTGTTTTATATGTACTTTTAACACAACATAACTGTATGTATAAAAACATGTTATTTATATCAAAATACGGTAATAGAAGTAATGCTTTAAAATATTTGATACACTCGTCAGTGAAAACTTATGGCGCGTTTGTAAAAGTAGGCGATTATCCGGATTACAAGAAATACGGGATCAATGAGAAGGACTGTGGACTCAGATTTATGCCAACAATTCTTGACATAACATTTGATACGAAATGCTTTCTCAATAAATACACCGCAATAAAAGTGGATGATATCGAGGGCAGGACTGAATACGGCGAGCGGCAGATCAATGGACGGGTAGCCTATGGGACACAACGGTTGTACGGAGAGGCCCCGTGGGCTGTGTATTTGAAATTCAAATATTATTTCTTCTACGGTATGGGTTCGGGTACGAAAGGAACCTGTAGTGGAGTTTTGGTCACCACTTTATGGGTCTTAACGGCCGCCCATTGTTTCGACAGGTAATCACATTTTAGGTGGTGTTTGTGTATCAAAACTATATCTCGTTGTCTCTATAGCGGACTCAATGACCCGCTTCAGGTGACGGCCGGTAATGGCGTGAAAGCCGGTCTGGACTCCAGGTTAAGGTCTATTGTCAAAATACCTGAGGAGTATAAGCCATCGCTTGAGTATTGGGACATAGCTTTGGTCAGACTGAAGGAGCCGTTTGAACGCACCCGAGATAACCGGCATTTAATGATAAACCCAATATGTCTGCCAAACACCGGACAACGCAATTATAACGACGAAAGGGCCACACTTTTCGGCTACGGAGTCATTGATGAGAAGGGAAACAACGATAATAAGCTACGGCAGGGAGAGATCCTACTCGACACGTACTGGCGGTGTCCGGCCGGTCACTTCGGCGTTATGTGTTACCGCTATAGCACTATAGGAAATGCAACTTCTTGTATTGTAAGTCATTATTGTTATTTTAATACTCTATGCCATAGAGTCTATGGTTATATATTTGTATTGATGTGTATATTAAGGGCGATTCGGGTGGAGGTGTGGTCCAGTATGAGGACAAATACCGCTCCCGTGCTATACTTGTGGGAACAGTGGTCAGCGGTGAACCGACGATATGCGGCACTCTTATCTCCTATTATTCCTCCACTTCTCTGTATATGGACTGGATTTTAGAGACCATTAAAAACAATACGGTTATACCATAAACACCATAACATAAATACTATGAATAGCCAATTAGCCTTAATGTTTTATTTTATAATCTAAATGAATTGAATTTTCTATTTTAAAAACTAATTTACAAATGTATTTTTTTGCTATATACTGTAACATTAAAATATGATATTTGCTTTATAATTAATCTCAATTGTTATCACTGATAATAGATAAATTAATCTCGATAAAATCTACATAGGTAAATTGTTGAATTACAATTCAAAATTGTTTTCATTGAAGCCTGAAATCAATGAATTGTTTCTTTTAATTTAAACAATCCAGTGTTGAAATGATTGATGCAAATGTTATAATTGTTTTATCTGTACTTTTAACACAACATAACTGTATGTATAAAACATATTATTTATATCAAAATACGGTAATAGAAATAATGCCTTAAAATTTTTTTTATATACTCGTCAGTGAAAACTTATGGTGCGTTTGTAAAAGTAGGCGATTATCCGGATTACAAGAAATACGGGATCAATGATAAGGACTGTGGACTCAGATTTATGCCAACAATTCTTGATATAACATTTGATACGAAATGCTTTCCCAATAAATACACCGCAATAAAAGTGGATGATATCGAGGGCAGGACTGAATACGGCGAGCGGCAGATCAATGGACGGGTAGCCTATGGGACACAACGGTTGTACGGAGAGGCCCCGTGGGCTGTGTACTTGAAATTTAAAACTTGGGGCATTACGACCAGAGCCTGTAGCGGAGTTTTGATCACCACTTTATGGGTCTTAACGGCC